TCAGACCTCACGACAGTGCCTGCATTCAGGGGCCTGAGTGCTGATAATTATGAGTGATGTCAAAATTATGGGTGGTGGCTCTTCCTCAACTGATGTCACTGATGTCACAAGACACCAGAACAGCCTTGCCTTCCCCAGAAAAGAGTGCCCTGGTCCTTCCTGCCTGTGAAGAGGCAGTTCTGAGCCCACTGTGGAAATGAATTAATTGAAGTCCAGAAGGGTTTGGCTGTGAATCTGCCCAGATCATAAAAGGTATAAAGGGATCAGGTGGCATCTTCCTCCCGAAGGACATCTGCTCCCACTGAAAAGCCAGAGGCACTGACTTATACACCAGCCTCCTAGGGGCACTACACACAGCAGTCATTTCTGCACCCCGTGGCATGCAGACAGGCATAACTGCCCAACCCCTGAGCATGGAATCTGATGGCTTGCAGGGTCCCCCAATAGCCTGGCTTTTGAGGAAGTGCATCACTCCATTAGCTTCCACACGCAGAGGTGTGAACATAGGCTGCCACACTCCAATGCAGGGGATACGATTTACCTGTTCAATAAACAGCAGCAGAATGAGAATGCTTCAGAATGGGAACACTCTCTCATGAGGCTGGTAAGTAAAGTCAGCTGCTTTGGGCATCCCTAATTACTAATTACCAAGATACTCTGGTATGTAGCACTGTCTCAAGACAAACTTTTATCCACAGATAAAATTCAACTAACTCTTCCACCACTGTGTATCAGGTGACATTTAAAAGCCATCAAAACCTGTAACAGTCTCACAACAGCATTAATAAGAAAATGTGCTATTTGAGCATCCATGATGTGTGAAATATTTTGCACACCTGAGTTCATTTATGTCTCATAATAAATCTCACAGTAGATATCATTACAATCAGTATGTAGCAGAGGAAACTCAAAAGGACAGAATCACTTAATAATATGCTCAATGTTACCCAATTAGAACCTTGTATGTAGGTCTGACTGCTTTAAAAGCCTAAATGTCTAGCAGCTGCATTTCTGTACATACATGTTACAGGATGATTATGCCCATTATTCCTCAAAATGTGTACAATGACCTAGAGCAGAGATCAGCAGACTTTGTCTGCAAATGTCAGAGAGTACATTGTTAGGCTTTTCTAGCCACGTGGTCTCTGTTACAACTGCTCAGGTATGCCTTTGTCACACAGAAGTAGCCAGAGACAACACGTCAAAGAATGGATGTGGTGGTGTGCCAATAAAACTTTATTTATGCAAGTAGGTGGCAGGCTGGGTTTGGCCTGTGGGCTGTAGTTTGCCAACACCTGATCTATAGCAGTGCCATTAAATAGGAAGACAATACAGACAACATATCCAAATTTGAATTTTCTTGTCGCTACCTTATAAAAATGTCATATTGAAATTTTTAATATTTATTTACCTATTTATTTATTTGGCTATGCTAGGTCTTAGTTGTGGTATGTGGGATCTTCATTGCAGCATGCGGGATATTCACTTGTGACATGTGGGATCTAGTTCCCCAACTAGGGATTGAACCTGGGCCCCCTGCATTGGGAGCATGGAGTCTTAACCACTGGACCACCAGAGAAGTCCCTGTATTGAAATTTTAATAATTTTCATTTTGCCCACTAAATACAAGTATACAGATCGTTTCAGTACATAACCAACATAATTACTGAGATAGCCTATGTTATTTTTGTCATACTTAATGCTAGAAATCTGGTATGGATCTCACACATGCACCCAACTCAATTTTGATAGCTGTACAAGAGCTCAACAGCCACGTGTGGCCAGGGGTGCTCTAGTGGACAGTGCAGATCTAGACTCTGCCTGTCTCCTGGAGAGGACAGTGGAGACTAGAAAACTGGAACATTCTCTTCACATCAGACATCCTTGGGCTCTTTCTACTGGCAAAGCCCTCTGTCTCAGGCGAGTTGCTTCTCTATACAGCTGTAGCTCTGTCTCATTCATTTGCTGAAAATCTATTTAGGTGATAATTCCTACTACATGCAGTTATAGAGATACAGCACTTGAGAAAAATTCTGAACCACATGGATCTTAAAATCTCACAGTGGAAGACAGTAAGTAAATTGAATATTATCTAGATGAAGGGGTAAGTGCTGTAGGTAAAATACAGGACAATGAAGGCATTTGGAACTAGGAACATGAGCAAAGGGACTGGGGCAGAATGAAATCATAACAGTGACATAACCATCTGGGTAACATTGGAAATGGATACCGTGGCTTGGTTTTTTGTTTGTTTTTAATGCCACTGCGTTTTTAAACTATAAGGATTAGAAACAGAATGTTGTGATTTCACAAAATCTCTGGAAAGGTTTCAAGTGCTTGTTAACTTCACCATGTCCCACTGGAGAGACACTAGAATCAAAGTGTCCCCAGCCAAGAGCAGAAGCACCATCTACTCCCAGAAAAAGAAAGAACGAACGAACAGTACCAATGGGCTAAAAATGAACTCAAGAATCTGGAAAAAGAGAAGCAGAATAAAAGAAGAAAGCACAGAATGAAATGTGAAGGGCAAAATGAACTATATAAAAGGGAGGCTAAAAACACATCTCTTGGGAATTCCCTGGTGGTCCAGTGGTTAGGACTCTGTGGTTTCACTGCCAAGAGCCTGGGTTCAACTCCTGGTTGGGGAACCAGGATCCCACAAGCTGTGCGGTGAGTCCAAAACAAAAAACCGTACAAACCACATCTCTTAGAACTGATCAGATTGCAACCTCTGACAGTTTTTTTTCAAGAAAAACAAAGCATGGGCAAATAAAGTTACAAATGAAAAAGCAGGCATAATTAGGGATGTTCTAGGGATTAAACACGAGAGGAAGGGAATGGTCTAAAATAAAATTTTAAAATATGAGTACTTCCATACTACTTAGTAGTCGAAAGTAATTTAAAGATAATAAAAGGGTATTTTCAAACATTCACAAAAAGGAAACAAAAATCCCAAATTGTTTTACAGGCTAGTTTTATTAAATATTAACGAGATCAATAATTCTGTGTGCAGAAAACAATTCCTTTTTCAGAGACATGCCAAGAGCAGAATAGTACAAATGAAAAAAATAAACTATCATTAACAAACACAGTTGCAAAGTTCTATTAAAAATTAGTTCCCTAAATAATGAGTAATGTGCATAATCAAGCACAACCAAGCTTTTTTTTTTTTTTTTTTGCCGAGCCATGGGGCATGTAGGATCCTAGTTCCCAGACCAGGGATCGAACCCGTGCCCCCTGCAGTGGAAGCATGGAGTCCTAACCACTGGACCGCCAGGGAAGTCCCACAACCAAGCACATTTTACTCTAGGAATGCAATAATGTTTAAAAATTAATCCATTTTATAAAACCAGGAACTCTACTCAGTGCTCTGTGGTGACGTTAATGGGAAGGAAATCTAAAGAAGAGGGGATATATGTACACGTATAACTGATTCATTTTGCTGGACAGCAGGAACTAACACAACATTGTAAAGCAACAATACTACAATAAAAATTAAATAGATTTTTTTGTAGTTTTCAGTATACAAAAGTTAATCCATTTTACTATATAATAGAAATGCAGAAAAATCATAATTCGTTGTCCTCAAATCCAAAACAATGACTATCATTAATGGACATAAAAATTTAATACATCAGAACTAGAAGGAACATGGCTACCTGGGGAAGATGGTGCATAAAAACACTGCAATGTTAAATGAAAAATCTGAAATAGTAAAACAGCTCTCTTGTCAAGAAGACAAGACACACAGAGTACCTTATTCTGCACTGGACAGGAGGTCCTGGGAATCATTTAAAAAGAAAAGAAAAAGGTAAAATGACAGGACAAGAAAAAAGCTGAAGTATCATTATTTGCAGGTAAGATTTTGTAAGTAAAGATTCAAAGATTTTACAGATCAATAATTAAAATCTATGCTTGCACCTAACAAAGACACTAAGAAAAATGCTCAAAAATGAGTTTACTTCTATGTACCGGGAACAGTATATTTTTTTAAGATACCATTTAAATCAGCATCAACATTACATGCAGAACAAGTCTAACAAAGGTTTTGTAAAACATGACGAAAACAGTAAAACATTATTAAAGGAAATTAATGGAGAGACATACCAAGACCGTGGATCGCAAAGTTCAATACCGTAAAAGGTGTAGATCCACCCTCGAATTCATCTACAAGTTCAATGTAATTGCAACTCATTCTTTGTACTTGAAATGCTGACTCTAATCCTAGTTTTTTACATGCGAGAAACTCAATCCCATGGGCACCAGAATCCATCCATTTAATGAAAAATACCTTGAATGTCTAATAAGTGCTATATACCCTCCCCCCTGTGGTTGCGATAAATGAATGAGAAATTAAAAGATCCCCTCATTTAAAGCCTCATAGTTTAGGAAGCTTGGTGAGTCACTAAAGAAAAAGCAGGGGATACAGGGGGACCCCCCCCACCCCGCGACCAAGGGCGGGGACTCTGGCCGGGACCCTGGGGGAGGGGCGTGGAGACCCCGGCCCGCGTCAGCTTCCAGCTGGTTCCTGCCGGTTCGAACCAGCCCCTCGCAGTCTCCGACCCGGTCAGCGCACTCACCATCTCCGCCCCGCTCCGGACTCTGCCGGAAGTCCTTCCCGCGGTCCCGCGGCCCCGCGACCTGGGCAGGTGAGAGCGATGGGGAAGATTAACCTCGGGCTGCGCGGGGTATCGGCACCAGCACAACTGCCGGCCGAGAACGACCCCCTACATGGGCTGGGAGCGTGCCCGCCCCCCGGCCCTGATTGGACGGTGTTCTGGGCCCCGCTCCCTGATTGGATAGAATTGGGATTCCCCGCACTCCGATTGGACGGTTCTCCAGGTAATCCCTCCCTATGGGGACTCTGATTGGGTAGTTTCCCGAGGCACGCAGCCTGATTGCACAGCGCTTCGGGCACCACTTTTGGAGCCTCTGAGGATAGTGCTACAGGCCCCGGTGCCCCTGATTGGGCAATTTGAGTGTCTGCACCGACCCTGCCTGGGAGATGGGCGGGGGCAGGGATCACGTGGAAAAGCCGGGCGGAAACGTGGATTCTCAGCTTCTGCCCTGTCTTTGTCCGGTCTTCTACCCTGGACGCGGAGCTGCCTTCCCGGGATGTGGCCTCCGAGCAGAACTCGCTCCGGGCAGGTCGGACTTGGCGTCAGCCCGCAGCTCGACGGCCCCTCTTCGTCCTCCTTTCTGGTCTTGGATGTCCTGACCCAGTTTCCACGCGGAGCACCCCGTGTCTGGAAGCGGGACTGGACAGGACGCGGGAGACCGGTGACTTCCAGGGTCAGGGGTGGACTTGGGGCTTTAGGGACCACGACCTCTAGTATATCAGCACCTATACTGAAAATTGATATCGTTGTGTCTGAGTTTTCTGGGAAACCGTATTTTTTCCACTTTGGTCTCGAAATCTGATTTTTTTTTTAAATGCACTTAGATCTGATTCTGGTTTGCTTCTATAAGATTTCATTTCTATCATTTTAGCGTATGATCAGGATTTTTCTTGTCAATGTTCCCATTTATATTCTTTGTCCTTCCCTCCGTTATTTTCTCTATTATTTTTCCTTTGTTTCGCCGCGCGGCTTGAAGGATATTAGTTCCCGGACCAGGGATGGAACCCATGCCCCCTGCAGTGGAAGCGCCCTGTCCTAACCACTGGACTGACAGGGAATTCCCTTCCCTCCGTTATTTTGTTTAAAGTCTGTGCGGAGGCACCCCTACTCCTCCAGCTTCTGTTGCCATAGGTCTGCAGGGGTCCAACACCACCCTCTCTCCATTCTGCAGATCTAATCCATCAATTAAAAAATCAGTGACATTTTCCCTGTAAGAAAACATCCCCTCCTCTCTCTCCCCACAGTCGGACACCTCGTGTTCTACTCCTTGGTCTCAGTGTAAAGGTCTCTCTCTCACGTGACCTTTTGAGGAGTCCCCCGGAAGCATTATCTCTCCTTTTGTTAATTGCTCTAATAGGAGTCTCTCTTGCATTTATACTCCCCATTTTCTGTGAGTTTATTTGGTGCTTATTGTCTGTCTCCCCGACGTAATTTCAGCACAATTGGAAAGAAGTCTGTGGCCTTATTTCACAATCTTAGCTGCTAGAGACACTGCCATTATTATTATTATTATTATTACTAAATTTTCTCTGATCGATTTTAGGCAATGACTGCTGGGCCAGGCTGCGACTCATTGAAGGTGTTTGAGAGCACTAAGTAAAGAGGAACTGATATCAGTAGGACTTCCGACTGAAAGGAACAATCAAACAAAACAAATATGTCTATTTTCACCTCAATTATTTATCATTGCTTTAATCTGTAATAAGATCATGTCAGAATAGACAATGAGCCGTATAAAGGATAGGAATAAATATTGTGATTGGAGGTGATAACATTGCTTTCTTGAGAAACTAAAGATGAAACAACTATAAAACTGTTAGAACTATTGGCAATTTACTAGTTACTGATTAAATATATATGATTTACATCATAAAATACATTATTGGACTAAAATTGCATTTTCTGGGAAACTATATATTAGATATTGCAGGATAGGCTTAATGCCATGTGCAGGATCCATATAAGAACATTTAAAAGTGTTTCCTGATGAAGTGACAAAGGTGTCACCTTCATGGATATATAAATAACATTGTTGGATTGAAGACTCCTCAGTTCAAAGATGCAGGTCTCTCTAAACCTAGCCATAAAATTTAGAGAAATTTCCAACCAAATTTGCATCAAGAAGTACTTTATGCCTCATAATAAGGTAATTATAAAAGAATTTCTGAAAGTAGTGCAAGGAGTAGGTAGGCAAATATAAATGAAGAATGAGGAAGAACTTCTGATCCGATCACCAGTTAAAATAACAAATGAGTACAAATAATTGAAATGGCCCTCAGAAACAAGGAATTATCTGACTCAAAATAACAATAGTGCCATTGTTGAGAAATCTTGGAATGAACATATACACCCTTGAGAGTCTATAAACAGACACAGGATATAATAAAATACTGTATATGATGATTTATGGCAAGAGATGATTCAATCTCAGCCCTCTTTCTACTACATCTACATAAATTCCAGATGAGATAAAGATTTAAACTTAAAAAAAGAGGGACTTCTCTGGCAGTCCAGTGGTTAAGACTCCACGCTTCCTCTGCAGGGGCACGGGTTCTATCCCTGGTTGGGGAACTAAGATCCCACATGCTGCAGGACATCTACGCCTTTGTGCTCTAAAGCCCGTGCGCCGCAACTAGAGAGCTTGTGTGCCACAAGTACTGAGCTTGCATGCTCTGGAGCCCATGCGCCACAACTAGAGAGAAGCCCATGCTGCAACAAAGAGTCTGGGTGCTGCAATGAAAGATCCCGCATGCCACAAGGAAGGTCCCACGTGCCGCAACGAAGACCCAATGCAGCTAAAAAAAACCCAGAAAACTAAAAGAAAACATCAGTAAGTATTTCTGTATACTTAGGGAGTGAAAGTCACGACATCCAAAGAAAAACTATAAATAGAATGATGACAAGATTTGAAAAAATAAAGTAAAAACGTCATAAATGATAAGATGAAAGATATAATAACTTGGAAATGTTTTCAATGCTGTCATAGCAAAAAATGCAATATCATTAATAATTTTTTTTTTTTTGGCTGCATTGGGTCTTCGTTGCTGCGCAGGGGGCTCTGCATTTGGGGCGAGCGTGGGCCACTCTTCTTGCGGTGCACGGGCCTCTCATTGTGGTGGCTTTTGTTGCGGACCACGGGCTCTAGGCACACGGGCCTCAGCAGTTGTGGCTGGTGGGCTCTACAGCGCAGGCTCAATAGTCGTGGTGCACGGGCTTAGTTGCTCCGTGGCATGTAGGATCCTCCTGGGCCAGGGCTTGAACCCGTGTCCCCTGCATTGGCATGCGGACTCTTAACCACTGCACCACCAGAGAAACCCTAATTAATAGTTTTAAAAGCGCTTATAAATCAGAAGCAAAATGTTGAAGTCCAAGAAAAATGTGCAAAGCCTGTGCACAGAAACTTACAAAATCATAAATTACAAAATGCCCTATAAAAATAACGAAAATAGATTACTTCCTCAGGCTCAGGATGGATTGTAGAAATAGATACACTTACTAACCACTAAAATTACCATTTTGGTTTCCTTGAGGCATATTGTTGGGGAAAGATCAAAGAGATGCTTCTAGAACTGTTCCTTAAGATAGTAAGCCTGAAGCAGCACCTCACTCATGGAGGAATTTCAGAAATTAGTATTGCCATCAATATACTGAGAGATGCAGGGACTGTTTTTTTAACTACCTTTTCTTTAATTTGAATGGTTGTTATAAAAGCTATGGAGGTTGAGTTTGGAATATCACAATCTTTTTTTTTAAGGTTTTTAATTTTATTGAAGTATAGTTGATTTACAATGTGTTAATTTCTGCTGTACAACAAAGTGATTCAGTTATATATATATACATTCTTTTTCATATTCTTTTCCATTACGGTTCATCACAGGATGTTGAATACAGTTCCCTGTGCTAGACAGTAGGACCTTGTTTATTTTATCACTGATACATTATTATTGACTAAAGTCCATGCAGGCTAGTGCTGGAGTTCCAACCTCAAAATACAACCATATGTATTTTAATTGGCAAACAACCTGATACCTTATGAACCACATACACCCAAATCTGGTCATATGATTTAAAACCTATTTGCAGCAGAACCATCTCATCATCCTTCTGGGCAACACCTTGGACTGTTGGGAGCTTCTAGATTCAGCCACCCATAACTGAGGCTTTAATTGTGCCAGTTAAGTCCAATGATGGCAGATTCAGAGAGGCTGCCGTCACCCTTGCTAGCCATGCACCTTGATTTGAAAGGTATTTGCAAGTCAAGCTCCCAGGCCCACAATTGCCATTGAATTCTGCAAGTGGCTCAGCCACAATGGCTCTACCATAGAGCCACAAAAATTGGATGCATGTCAACCCAAATGGGTATCCACTGGGAAAGGATATCCCAGTGCCATATCACCCTGGGCAACATGGCCCTAGAACCAAGCTCTCAGGAAGCTGCAGGATTCATCATTTTAAAAGTATGTTTATGGGGGCTTCCCTGGTGGCGCAGTGGTTGAGAGTCCCCGCCTGCCGATGCAGGGGACACGGGTTCGTGCCCCGGTCCGGGAGGATCCCACATGCTGCGGAGCGGCTGGGCCCGTAAGCCATGGCCACTGAGCCTGCGCGTCCGGAGCCTGTGCTCCGCAACGGGAGAGGCCACAACAGTGAGAGGCCCGCGTACCGCAAAAAAAAAAAAAAAAAAAGTATGTTTATGGGATTTCTCTGGAGGTCCAGTGGTTAGGACTCCATGCTTCCACTGCAGGTGACACGGGTTCGATCCCTGGTAGGGGAAGTAATATCCCACATGCCCCATGGTGCGGCCGAAATAATAAAAGTATGTCTAATAAAAAACTAATCTATACTTAAAGAGAAACTTTATTCACAAAGATTGTTGCAACAGGGCTGAGGCTCGGATCTCAGCGATGTGTCAGCCTCTCCAGCCACAAAGAAAAGGACTTTTCTCGTCTATATGAGGAAGGGAGGAGGGAAATTGGGCGAGTGAGGGCGGTGCGTGGACTGCGGGTCAGTGTGGCTGGACTGGACAGGGCTCCCTGGGTGGCCTATTCTCTGGAGAAGCTGACCAAGGACTTGCTCTGAACCTCAGGGTTGCTCAGACGTGGGGGCTACCCAACGGTACCCCCTTCCTGTGGGGAGGGAGCCTGATGCTGTGGGGTAAGAAATGGGACACAGAGAACTTGGTCAAGCCCAGATATGCGGGCGGGTCAGGAGGGCGGTAGGTGTCAAAGGTCACACGTCAAACCCGGCCGGATCCTGCCTTACAGGCGAACGTTTCTTTGTTCTTAAAGGGCACAGACACATGGTGACCTTTGATCCCGGGTCGACCATTGACCCTGGAGGTCACCAGCCTCTCCCGGCCCATCTTGTCCAGTCCCGACTCTGGACAGGGGTCTCTCCGCGGGGAAACTGAGTCAGGACGTCCCGGTCCGGATCCGTCTGCCCGGGAACAAGTTCTGCTGGGAGCCCACGGCCCGGGCTCGAAAACAGCACTCCTGCCCGGCTTAGGGACCTGACCAACGTCCCAGTTTATCACTGAAGCCTTAGGGACTATAACACTGTCCAATCAAGGGAGACGGGGGCGGGGCCCGGGAAATAATCAGAAGCGCTAGTGTGGAGCCCGTGAAACTGGGCGGAGGGACGGGGAGGGTCTGAACAATTGTCCAATCAGAACCCGGAAGCTTGTCCGCGCCCTATACATTCAGAGTCCTCAATAGGGTGAGTGCCTGGAGTACCGTCCAATCAGGGCGCCGGTTCCCGGAGAACACTCCAATCAAGGATTGCGGGGGCCGGTTCTGGAGTCCTTTTCTAAAGGGTGCCGGGGGCGGGTCACGGAGTAGCGTACACTCATAAGCCCCGGGGAGGGGAGTGCTTGGAGCACCGTCCAATCAGAGGGCGGAAGCTCGGAGCTCCGCCCAATCAGGGTCGGGGGTGGGTGCCCTCCCAGCACTCCCAGCCCTCCCAGCCTTCCCAGCCCGCGCAGGCGTCGCTCTCGGCGCATCTCGGCGCGCCTGCGCACCTGCGGGGCGCGGACCCAGGTGTCCGGTGTCTGTGGCTGTCACCGGCCCAGATTGCGGGGCCGCGGGAGGACGCCCTGGACACCCAGGACCTGGGCGGAGATGGTGAGTGCGCGGGCCGGGGCCAGAGACGGAAGGGGCTGATTAGGACCGCCTGGGAGCTGAGGCAGGCCCGGGTCTTCCGCGCCCGCTCCCCTGGATTCCGACCCGAGTCTCCCCCTCGGCCGCGGGGTGGGGTCCCGGCGTCCTGTCTTTCCCGTCCTCTCGTGGGGGGCGGGGGAGTCCCGACCTGAGTATGCGTCCCTTGGGGGTCCCAGGGAGGACCAGGTGACCCGGGCAGAGGTCAGGGGCGGGGGTGAGGGAACGCGCCGTGACCTGACAGATAAAGTCAAACCCTTATTGGGTAAGGAGAAACTTTATTCCCGTTAAAAAACAAAATCCAACTGAGTACATTTTGAAGCTCTTACGTCTGTATGCAACAATTCATGAATCTGGCAGCTTCCCATCCAGCATATCTATAAGGGCGCTGCCAGGAGCTGTACGGAATGAAAGTCTTCCGTAGGCAGAGGGAGCGGGACAAAGAAAGTAGCGAAAAGTGGATTGTCTGTGGCCAGGTTACTCTACGGAGGGCAGGGGTCTGTCAGGCAGATCACTTCACTGTGCTGACCAGGTAATTCCTGACTGACTGGTTTCAGATTCCGTTTCTGGGAGAGGCTGAAACTGTAATTAAGTCTCTGTTTGGTGATTTGGGACTTAGAATAACCGATTCCGTTTGGGGCTGTGGTCTTGTTTTTAATATTCCAAAGACTTGGAATAGGGACAGGGCTCGGATACCACAAATGTTCCAGGGTCTCAGACTAAACAGAAAAGGGCTATGGGTGAGGAGGGTGAGAGCAAGGCTGTTTGACAGAATGGGGCGTCCCTGTGGTCAGCGCATTCTCAGCCCGGGGTCGGGGAGGGGGGCCGAGGGGAGGGTTTGCTCTGCAGCTCAGTGCTTCTCAGTGGGGGCCGGGGGGAGGGAGTGGTGACTCAAAGTCAGGGGCCTGTGGGTAGACAGGAGCCTAAGTAAAGTTTGAGTAAGAAATGGGTAATTGTGAACACTGGGTCAAGCCAGTGTCAAATAAAAATCCAAATTTCCTAAAGGCAGACTTTCATTCAAATGATTTCCTGCAGGGGAGAAGGGTCTGCTGCACGAGGCACAGGGGGCTTTGCAGGAAGGGGGACATCTGACCCCAAGATCTGCAAGTGTCTCAAGAGTTGGGCAAAGAGTTTCTTTCACACAGAGGCTTAAACAACACCAGGAGGGACCAGGTGTGATGCTCGGATAGCAGATCCCTGAGGCCAGCCTGTCCTTAGGGATCTGTCGGCTGGCTGCGGTGAGGCCAGGTCAGGGGGAAGGAGAGGAGCTGAACCAGAGTTTGGCCAACAAGCATTTGTTCTGTTTGGTTAGTGGGGGGAACAGTTCTGCTAATCACTGATGAGGTGGAGATGGGGCTCTGAGGGGACTGCGTCTGGCCTTGTCCTGGATTAACAAGGGGCCTCCGTGTGAGTCTTATCTGAGTCAGGTGGGGCACGGGGGTGGTTTCTCGCAGCCTGCCGTTTTCCAGAAGACCAAAGGGTGGGGGTTCCTTTCACCTCCCATCGAAGTTTCCAGGAGCACAGGGCTCAGGGAGGGTTCAGCATTGTCCCCTGACACCTGTGAGCAGCCTCCTCTGGGTCCAGCTCAGCACTAATAGCTTCCCCTGATCCAGCTTCTGGTTTCAGCAAGTGTAAAATTCCGCATTCTTTCTGCCTGGTTTCTTCTCCTTAGTGAGGGTAGTAAGCATCTCAGGTCTTTGTCCTTTCCTGCTGACTTGTATTATTCTGGGCCTTTGGGCCTTAACCAGAGATGCCTCTGGGGAGAAGTGTCTCAGTACAGAAAATGTTTTCTCTTCCATTAGAATTTCAGGAAATACAGGCAGTCCCACCCCTTCATGTGAAATGGGTGGAGAGATGGATTTAAAAGATTCAGAGAAACTGTAATGACTCTTCCATGCAAAGTGCAGAGTTCTGACACTGACTGAATCTGGTCCACTAACTGTTATTACCTGGACAACAGAGGTGAGTGGAAATTCTGTGGAATGTGACCAGTGCTACTGAGACTTGCTCACTTCTTTTTAGATGAGTTACAGCTTGTCATCATGAGGATATTAGTGAACTGATGCCTGTCTTCTGAAAGGGATGAGCAGTATCCTGTTCCTCAAATCATAAAAGTGCCCCAGAATTTCCCTCTCCTACATTATCCGTGAACGCAGGAGGAAGCAGTGATCCTGCAGGTTCTCATGTACACACTGAGACAGGGGTCTTTGTCTCCTGTGAATGACCCACAGTGCTTGAAGTGGATGCATCCTCTGGGGCGGGGACAAGCTGAGCCTGTGAGGGAGGTGAAGGAAGGTGCTCTGGGCCCTTGCTGCCACCCCTCCCCACACATGTGGCCTCCAGACTGTAGAACCACCACAGAAGGAGGTGTTTATGGCATGAGCATGGGGTAGGGGATCCACCTGCAGAAGGGCTGGGGGTGGTTTTTCAGCCGAGGTTTCGTTGTCCTCAGCTGTTTCCTGACCTTCGCTTTCGGCCTCATCCAAGGAGTTGCTGAATTGAGTGTGATCTGTGCACCCTGAGTGAGTCTGTGAAGGTCAGACTTAGGGCAGGCTCCTTGGGCTCAACTGCTGCTGAGAAGGTTGATGAATTGGAGAGCTTCTCTGGGTCAGAACTTCAACTTGAGCGTTTCCTCTTGGGTGAGAATTGAGGTCCTCAGGAGGGGGCATTTCCACACTGATCTCAGGCGCTCGGTCCCTCCCCCTGCCCTGGGGGCGCCCAGCCAGGCTGTGTGTCAGCAGGGGGATCCCAGCCCCCCAGCTCGGATGGCTTTGACCTTCTGACTTGGGCTTTCCTGGTGCACCGTGGGCAGCAGGCCGCTGATCTGAGCGGCTCACACTTGGCTGCGCTTCCCTTTTGTTTCTTGGATGGAATCTGGTGCCCTGTGACTCAGTGTGCGTACTGAAGACTTTTGTTCTGTTACTTGAAGGTGTAGATATTTATTCCCTTGGTTGGCTGGTAGCACTTCCCAGTGAGCGGCCCCCAGGGTGCCCATCATCCTGGTCTTTTTGGTATTCTTTGCAGCTTTACACCTGTTCCTCATCACCAAGCAGCGTTTTGATTTTGCTTCTGCTGAATCTGCCATAAGTGAATATGACCCGTACCACACCAGTAATGGCACACAGAATGCTTCTACGTGGTTCTTGGCCCCAGTCTGTTTCACATGTCCTGGTTTCAGAGGAAGGGAGTGACCAGGTGGTATCCTCCATCCAGTTCTGTGGGGATTGGGTTGTCTCATGGTTAGTTTTGATTTATCAGCCGTGCTATTATTTATACTCCTTGATTTTTGTCTCCAAATGCCAGTGCAATATAAATTTTTACGTGTGGAAGGAAAATTGAAGGACTGTAGATTATGGATATTTTCAAAATACTAGGAAGTGTGGATGGCGGGCTGGAGTCTAGTGTTGATTCTACGCCATTTCCAGCACTCGGAGTATTACTGACCAGGGTTCTCGGACTTGAATCAACAGAGGTTGATAAGAGGCCAGATAAGAAATTCCAATCAAGGCTTTATTGGGGCTCCTGCGGCAGCAGGAGGGAGCGAAAACAAGCAACAGGTTTCCTTGCTCACTCTCTGAGGACGGGGTGGGGGTGAGCTGCGTTCTCTTATATTGGGTGGGGGGGCTCTAGTCCAGCAGCTGTGCCGGAGGGGTGGCTTGGGTGGTGTGCCCACCCCCTTGGTGGTGCTGTGTGCCAGGTGCATGGGCAGTACCCTGCTTTTGCTCCGGACTCCTCAGGAGTGGCAGTTGGATTATTTGGTCTTTTTGTATCTTCTTGTTCCTAATTTGCCCCAAGCCTGCCGTGCAGTTTTTTTAGTCCCTTATAGTCTCTTTGTATCTTGTTGCTGGAGGAGATGTTTGTCCAGTTGCAGGCACTGCAGCAAAGCTTCCAGGTTCCAGCCTGGCTCAGGAGTATCCAGCTTAATTTTGTCCATCATAATATGCGAAGTGGGATCTCCTTGTGATTGTATATTGGTTTTTACTGTTAACCATTGGGGTTGAGCACTTCTTATAAATGGTGTTCGTCTTCTGTGAAATAGTTTTCAGTCATTTTCTCACCTGTAATTCATTTGTATATTTACTGATTTATTATACTTTCTTTACATACTCTGGACATTCAACCTTTTTCATTTCTCGGTATGGCAAATATGTTCGCTCAGATTGTGGTTCATCAGTTCTCTCTATTCTATTTGATGGACACGTCTTAGCTTTAATAGACTTGACATTCTCCATCTTCCTTTGTAGCTTACTCTATTTTTCCTCTATAAGAAAACTCCCCCGATTGTCGAGTCATAATGCATTTACCTGTAACTTCTCAATGTGTTCTACTTTCGTCTCTCATAGTTAAGCCCACAGTGAATTGGTTATTGTATATGCACTTATAAGGAAAAAGATTTCTTATTCCCCTGTAGATATCCAGTGGTCACTGCCCCATCAAAGTGTCATCATCTGGCCCCTGCCCAGCATCAAGTGCTCTGGCGTAGATCCACATGCTGAAGACATGTGGGTCTCTTTCAATGTGTTGTGGTTTTTTTCCATTGGTGTATTTGTCCATCTCTCTGTTAACACCATCCTGTCCTAATCACTGCAGCTTAAGAAGTTTCAATGTCTGTTAGGGAAAATCCCACCACCTTGTTCTGTAGAAAGTCTTGGCTGTTTTAGAAGTTTGTCTTCCATTTCAGTTTTTAAAAGTAGTTTTTCTTAAGTTCACACAAAACAGAAACAACCCCCAGACCAAAACCCAAAGCAAACCTTCAATGGAATTGAAGATCCAGTGGAATTTTCTTAAACTCTTGACCTGTTTGGGAGAAGCTGACGTCATGGTGACATCAAGTCCCCTTACTGAGAATGTGCCCATCTCTCCATTTATTTCATTTTACTGTGGGGTCGTTTGATAACATTTTGGACTTTATCCACAAATCAGCTTATATCCTTTATTAGACATAATTTAGGACTTAAAGAAAATTAGTTTTGTAGCAATTAGTTTTAAAGGTCTAATATTTAAATTTTTTACTTTTTTTTTTTTTTTTTTGGCCGTACCGTGCAACATGTGGGATCATAGTTCCCCAACCAGGGGTCGAACCCTCACCCCCTGCATTGGAAGCATGGAGTCTTAACCACTGGACTGCCATGGAAGTCCTGAAAATTTTTACTTTTCAATTGCTTGTTTCTAGTGATTCAAAATACACCAAGATTTATTTTTATGAGTTTATATACTGGAAACTTACTAAAAATCTCATTCTGTGATTATTTTCATATTCTTTTGGGGTGTGACATACACAAACATTTGAGCAATGAATAAAGGTAAATGTTTTCTTCTATTACAATATTTTTTTCCTGGTGAAACTTACTCTATTAGTGTCCCCTATTAACAGTTTTTTAAAATCAAGCATGTACTACAGGTCAGCATTAGAGAGATTTCTGTGTCTATTATTATTGAGAGATCAGGGTGATAAATATATTTGAATACTTGAAAAGATTCTCTGAAAAGAAACAAAACTTGAAATGTGGTTTTATGACAAACCATTTAGAAGACCTCAGTTATTAAACAACTAAAAACACAGAACACAGATTTCCTTGGTGGTCCAGCAGTTAACACTCTGCGCTTCCAATGCTGGGGACACGGGTTCAATCCCTGGTCGGGGAACTAAGATCCCACACACCACGCGGTGCAGCCAAAATAAATTAATTAATTAAAAGTAAAAAAAAAAATAAAAACACAGAACAGAAGATAAACAGGCATTCACCAACCTCATTGTCTCCAGCACATGACATGTGACATATTAAGGCATCTTTTGCTCCCATCCTGGTATATGCAGGTTAAGAGACAGGCTTTAAATAGGAACCAGCACTTCTGCTCAAATGCATTGGGCAGATTTGTTTTTTATATTCTCGCATTCCACACACCCTGAAAGCTTTCGTGATGAAGCACATCTTGACCCAGAGCAACACAGTGGTGTACACAGATATCTGTTTAGTAAAGAGGAGCAGTTCCCCGTTAAACAGTAGGAAGGAAGGAAAAGAAGATTATGTAAAAAAGTTCCAAGATTGGTATTTCAGTTGCTCTCAAGAAATTTATGCTTCAGTGATAAGGAGATAGACGAGATGAAGACTTGATTGACGATGAGATTCCATTAACTTGGATCCTCCTGGGGAAGAATTGTTCATTGGTATTTTGCTGCATTGGGATGAGAGTTTGAAAAGCACTTCATACTCCTTAAAAAGCAAAAATCACATCCACTAGAAAAAGATCATTTAACTTAATACTGATTATTTATTATTTCCCGTATTTGACCATTTTCAAAGCTCAACAGGCTCCATAAAGTACATAGAAGAGTGACCTGTTCACCTGTTTTTTTTGTTTTGTTTTTGTTGTTGTTGTTGTTTGTTTTTTGTGGTACGCGGACCTCTCACTGTTGTGGCCTCTCCCCTTGCGGAGCGCAGGCTCAGCGGCCATGGCTCATGGGCCTAGCCGCTCCGTGGCATGTGGGATCTTCCCGGACCGGGGCATGAACCTGCGTCCCCTGCATCGGCAGGCGGACTCTCAACCACTGCGCCACCAGGGAAGCCCACGTTCACCTGTTATTAAGGCAGGTGTGTGAAAATAGTGTACTAGAACTACATCTTTCATGAACTGTCAGCTTGCAACATTTATTTATTTATTTATTTATTTATTTATTTATTTATGGCTGCGTTGGGTCTTCGTTGCTGCGCACGGTCTTTCTCTAGTTGCGGCGAGCGGGGGCTACTCTTCATTGTGGTGCACGGGCTTCTCACTGCAGTGGCTTCACTTGTTGCGGAGCACGGGCTCTAGGCACGTGGGCTTCAGTAGTTGTGGCTCACGGGCTCTAGAGAGTAGGCTCAGTAGTTGTGGAACATGGGCTTAGTTGCTCCGTGGCATGTGGGATCTTCCCGGACCATTGCAGTGGCTTCTCTTGTTGCGGAGCATGGGCTCTAGGTGCG